CCATAATACATTTGATTGAAAAAAAATAATGAATAATACCTAAATGCTCGTTCTTATATATTTTGTAGTATTTCTAGTAAAAAAAATATAGCGAATAGAATTTTTTATAAATATATTTTTCAAATCTGTATAAAATTTAGTTAAAATAGTTATTTAAGAATTTATTCGTTAAAGCTGTTAAAAACTACTACTACTACACAAATATCTATCTTCATTAATTAAGAGTTTAAAGAAGTGCTGATTAAATTTTCTGATGACATTGATTAAAGTTGTTAATTGTCTTTTTTGTAGTGTTTATCTTGAAATTAATGTCAATTACCGGGATTTAATAATTCGGAATTTTGCGGCGTTTCGTAAATTATGCATAGCTTCGTTAAGCATAAATTTGATTAACTTTGGGCTCGAATTAATTATTTGAGGGATGACAATTACGTGGTTTGCTCGCACATTGAAATTATCATTAATCATGTGTTTTCTCTTTATATTTTAATATGTGGGTTTTGATTAGTAGTTAGTATCCGATACAGCTTAGCACAAGGATCGGCAACTTTTTTTTGGAGCAAAGAGCCATTTTGGAGCCGCACGTAGCATTTTTACTAGTGAAATGAATTTTCTAATATAGCCACCACCGCTGTGAGCCATAATTCCTTATCGAAACAGGCACATGCGGCTCCGGAGACGCTGGTTATCTTAGTATATATTATATTGGAATTCCACATAATACACATATTTAATTTCTTGCATTTTTCTGGTAGTTCCTACTTTAAGAATTACTTTTATATAAGTTTAAAAAATTCATAAAAAAAATCACTATAAGAAAAAAAAATCTAAAAAAATGAATCAGTATTTACTTAATGGAATCTATATCTTATATAAGTTTCCTAAATATCAATAATCGCAGAATTAAAGTTAATTTTAGTTTTTATGTGAACAATGTCAAGAATTAATACAATTTAAATCTGTTGGAAATTGTTTGTTTTTTAAAGACTTCATGTGAGCCATCTTCAAATTAATACAATTTAGTGTTATTAACTTGAAATTATATTATATTTTGAAACACTTATTTAATATATTTATATAATTAAAAATAAAAATATAATTGAGTGAAATTTGCAGGCACAATTCAGTTTATAAGTAATGCAGAGTACCTGATATGGGGTTGGGGGCGCTTGCGCGATAGTAATTGAGGGATGAAAGTGGGTCCTTGGGGATATTCCCTTTGACTCTCCGACGACATGGAAGATAGATGCGTTAATTAGTGATTCCACTAAGATCAGGTGTGAGGTCTGCAGCAAAACATGTCTTGTACAAAGATCGACTATCGACAAAACCAATTCAATTAAATTTATAGCCGTCACATCATTTATATTTGTCACCAGACTTAGGACAATGTGGACACATTAATTGAAGGTCATATTGGTTGAAAGACATATATGAAGGAAACCTTCCAACAAGATTTAAGCTTATTCTGACTTATTGTTACACATTGCAAATTATAAACTTCAGTACCTCATATCGCGGACATTTTAAAATCCTGGACTAAAAATATACAAAACAAATAGAGTCTATATAAAGGACAAAAAATAATTTTGTGTACTATTTTTTTTACAATTATTGTTATTTTTGAAATTTTGAAAGCGGATCTGAATCCGGACTTGTCGAAGCAGCACTATACGAGGTATTGCTGTAATTCTGTATACAAAAAGAAGAATGAAAAACGAATGACAATATTATTAAACTTATATATTTATTTTATTATTATTTATATATCAGTATTGTTACAATAAATATGAAATACAAAAAAAACAATAATTATAAACAATGAAAGTAATAACACTAAAATGATAATTCTAGTTTTAACAGAAAATAAACAATATGTTTAATGGAAAACTTTTCTTGAAGTAAAAGCACTTTGACATGTATGTTGAGATTCATTTATTATTTGGACACACTTTATGAACTACACTGTTGCGACTTATCTGAACATAGCAAGCAGATTGAAATTTTGGTGGAAATTGTCTAAGAATGACGTCAGTAGTATTGAATTCCCAAAAATGCTCAAAGTTAAATTGCAATTTTCCAATTCTAAATGTAAAAATGTTATTGCAAGCATTTTATAAATATAAGTGATATAGCGAGTTAAATTATGAAAATATAGATGTAAACACTGTTTTGTTTGTTTTTATATCTGCATATAAGTTTTACTATTAAAGTTTATAATATTAATATTTTATGTTTTAACTCGAAAATTCATACTAGTTTGTTATAGTTAATTTATATACACATTATTATATTATTTTACACTTTAGCTGCTTATTCTATGCATTACCTAGTTCGTATATAAAATAATATTATTAAACTATATAATGCATAAAATAAATATATTCTAAATTGATGAATATGTAGAATAATACAAATCTTTCCTATCCAACGTAAAAACACAATGAGTTAAAATATGGGTTTCAGGTTAGAATATTCCGTTATTTAATAGAAATATTTCATTACAAACTTTATACAAATTTAAATTTTTACTGTAGAAAACGTGTAGGCAACTTTATGCAAATTACAATTTTTATTGTAAAAAATCTCTAGATAAAGTATGAAATATAAAAGTATTTCACAATGTAAATAATAAGACAAGCTATCATTTTTGTGTCAGAACAGAGTTTTCCAAACTGTGCGCCGAAGCTCTCCATGGCTGTGCTAGAGTGGTGCCGCAAAAATTGAAGAAAAACTACTATTACAGAAAAAAAAATAAGGTATGACATACTCATTATACCTTAATTTTTTTTCTGTCTATTTTGATGAACTTTTTTATATGATAAATTTGATATAATTATATGAAAGTCAGAAAATGGCAAAATAATATTCATTTATTAATAAAAAATGTAGTAACAATTTATAATATTACATTGACCAGTTAGTTTAGTGGAACTAAGCTTCTGCAGTTATATTTCTGTTTTTTTTTTGTTGTTGCTACAATGAGCCTTTCCATTAAAGTTTTGGTCTATTTGTGCGCACAACCAACCGCCCTTATATGTAATAATCCCCAAAGTTATTAGATAACCGTATAAAACAATCTCGGACTCCACTCGAAGCTCGCTACGAGGGACAAGAAAAAAATGAGCAAGAGGTCTGTGAAACCATCGGGAACTAAAGAAGTGGATTTCTATTCGGGTCTTGTTCGAGACATATCTTGCGGAGAGGAATTAAAGCTTGCGTAAAGGCAAAGCGCGGTTCATTCGATTTTCCAGTGTGCGACAAAACAGGGATGTTTGTAAGCTACCAATTAAACGGGCAAAAACTGGGGGCGGCGATAGGAAGAGTAGGGTGGGCCGCGTTTCGCTCGGTTTGCGGATTAAATAGGCATGCAAAACATGAAAGCCGGCGACGCGGGTGGTCCGAATGATTTCGTTTAGGGTGTACCTATCCAAAAAGAGAATAAGTTTCTGCAGGTTATTTCTTTTGCAGGACAAGGGTACGGGAATAGTTATAGTAGGGTCTTGCGTTTTGCAGGATTTGCTGGTTTTTGAGGGTTCTCATTGTGTGTGTGACATTTCCAGGTCGGACGTTGTACATTCGTCACGTCACGTGCAAGTGCTCATTTCCGTATACGTTAATGCAAGTTAACATTAGTACATCGCCGATTAAAACGTCGGCCGGGATTAAGTCGATTATTGCGTAATCGAATGGGCCCCTCGGGGGGGCTACGAGTAGCGGCTGAGCCCCATCGCATCGTCGATCCCTTTGTTAATTAAAACATATAAATCAAGTGGCCGAACAAGATATTAGGGATTGCGCGAATACTTCGACCATTGATTGAAAACAATTGATTATAAGCTAAGCATAAAAGCAATAACCACCCAATCTCATACCTTACACCCTTATTAATAAATTTATCTTCTTAGTGAGATTATAGATAATTGTACTATGATTATGGAATATGCTTTTTGAATGGAGTTTTTTCAGTAACATTGTACAATTAGCGCTCAGTTAACGTACATAATGCATACTCTAATTGAAAAAACGCTAAATAAATGCACGTTAATCAGATTTTTAACTATCAACTTGTTAGTAAAATATTAAATATCTCTCTATTTTTTCTTATTAATGTAGATTATGTTCGAAAAAACGAAAGTCATTTTATATTTTTTTTAAATAATAGGTCACAAATGTCGATATAATTATACTTTATTATTAAAAATATAAAATGGATATTGAAATATAAATATTAGTTACGTCAGATAGTCTCAAACAATTAATTACTACCACAAGTTGTTATAATACTTGTGTTTATTAAAATACTGCGATAACTGCCGATTAATTGATATAGTCAAATAAATAATAAGTATCATTATTTTATCCGACTGATATAAACATATGTTCATGTTGATATTATTACGTTACTTTGAACAAAGATACGTAAATAATCATGTACGTATTATTGAATATGTGAGCAAATTATATATGTTAAATGAGCGTTCACTGCATATCCATTAAACGTAATTGTTTCAAATATGTATATATATTAAAAATCTTTAATAATAAATAAAAAAATAAGAAAGTTGACTTATGCATTTCAAAAATATATATATTTCTAAAAGCGTATTTTTATTTGAGTCTATTGTTTTCAGAATCATGGTTGACATTAAAAATCAGCGTATTCTGAACCTGTTCATTAAATATTTAAATGAAAATAATAAAAATGCTTAATCCTGGATAATTTTAATATACTCATAGTTTGAAACCGTTCTGCAAGACATTATTAAGCTCCTCTTCTTTTTACTTTTTCTTTTTTAACTTGTTTTCTAGCATTTGTTTACACTTTTTTTTACTAATTAATGTTAGACACTTTTTTCGTTAATTATTTTATTATAAATTAGGTTTTAACCAAATTGTTAATACATATATTTTTGTAATTATATAATATTATTTCTAAATTATATTTAAGTCATAACATTGTACCTTTGCTATTCTGCAAGTTATATTATTGTTTGAATTTTTACCATATACGATTATTATAGATGGCTGTCCATACTTTGGATTTTTCCAGGTTTACCGCTTATCAAACGACTCTTCATCTTAAAGAAGTTCTGTAAAAAACATAATGGTTTCACTTTGAAAAATTACGTAACAAACAATACTCACAATATAATCCCAAGTTACTCCGAACTTTTCATTCACCAATTTCTCAAAATCCATCGCCATCCGTTCCTGAACCGTCCCTTTTGTATTAATAAATGTACAATTGCTGTCTGCATAATGAACTGATATTGCTTTCCTGAAATTCTGAAACAGAATCACAGTTCTTTACAGTCGTCAAAGTGTAGTTTATAATACTTCACTTTAGACATGTTCGGACTGGATCCGTGTAGCAAATGCGGATGGAAGAATAACGCATCTCCTTTATCCATGGTCAAATGTAGTTTGGGTAAATGGTCGAAACCGCGCACTCCATGGTAAAATTCGTTCGAACAATCCTGCAGAATATAAAGTTATTGTTGTTGAATATAAGGGATGTAAATAGATGCATGCGTGTATTTTTGCTGGGCATTACCTCGCTATTGCCGTGCGGGAATAAAGGACCTTTGTGTGTACCAGGCAACACGTATAAACCACCGTTCTCCACGTTAATCTTTTCCATTGCTGTCCACGAACCGACGATCTTATCGGCTGGTTTGAAAGGGAAATAGAACATATCCTGTGAATAGATATTATATAAATACAGAATATTTTAAGTGAAACTTTTGTATGGTGAAGTGAATAAAATCTTGTTAATATTGTATTTTACATTTGAATAATATGGGAATATTAGGACTGAAAGACTTAGGTCGATAGCTTTGGCAAGCACTTCATCGTGAACACTGAGCACACGTTTTTTAGATGCTACTTAGGATCAAATACGAGGCAGAATTTGTAGAGCCGAAAAATTTTGTTAGTGAAATTTTCAGTATTTCAGAGCAGTTCTTTCTGTGAGTTAATGTACGTAAAAGTTGTGCTACTGAATAAAGAAGACGAGTGGAGGTTGCAAATGGCCTACGAATGGCAGTAACGCAAGTAGTGAACTAAGATATGAAAGGGCGAACAGCATCACAGGGGTGTACAGCGATACAGGTAATGTATGTTGATAAAGAAGAGGAGAAGTTTTAGAGGGTAAGAATCCTACAGTACCACGACTCTACCCTTGGTCACTTTGGTTGATAGTCTTAATTGGTTTCAATAATATTGTGTAAGTGAAAATGTGATTATGAAGATTATTAAGTTAACTAATTTTAAATTATTTCTAGGTGTATAACAAACAAAGAAGTAATTACCTGATGAATTGGATGAGTGGAATGTTGGGTATTCGAATGTGGCGGTTTATTGATTAACATGGAGTGGATAGCTGTCACATTTGGACCTATTATGTTCTTGATGACTTCCACTACCCTTGGATGAGCCGCGTAATAATCGTAGAATACATCATCCTCGAGTAGTTCTTGTATCTAAATAAGTACAATTGTAATATTATGCAATCATTTAAAAAAACAATCTGTAAGCTATATACCTTATTAACTAAATATTCTCCGCGCGTTTCTCCTTTGTCTCTCAACGTTTTATCCCGCATAACAGTGAAAACCTTAACTTTACCATTACAAACATCTAAGAATCGCTGATGGCAAATATCAATATCTCCTTCTGGTACAAGTTTTTTGAACAGAATATATCCATTCTCCTCGTAGAAAATCCGTTGAGTCTCGGTAAAACCACAGTCCACAGTATATTTATAAGTCCTGAAAAATAAGGTTAAATAAAAAAATGTTACTTTTTAAAGCATACCTAGCCATATCTGCTATGACTAAAATTAGTTTTTTTATTGATTCCTTTATATACTTTACATTTTTCATTAAATAATATTAACATATTAAGCAATAATCACCGGTTAAGTTTGTTTTCATGTTCACTACTTTTTTTTACTTTGTTTTTTTTACTTTTTTACGACGATCAACAAATTGTGTTGTTTTTATCAGATATGTTTTTATATAGAAAAAAAAATATTTATAGTGTATTTTTGTTTTTCATGGGAAAATTTATAAATGCATTTTCTTGATGCCTCTTGTAGGTTGACACGGAGCGTGGCTTAAAGGATCTAACCTCAAGTGGGCACTATTTTCCTGCCTTTGTATAAAAGTGTTTCTATTTTCGGCTCATCTTATCAAATATAATTGCTTTGTCACAGACACAATAAGCGTATGTGACGTTCTTTCAAACTCATATTTTTTTTATATCTTGTGTAAAGAAAATCGATTTATTATACAGAATAGAGAGAATTGTAATATGTTCCATTTTCGAAGCATATGAAAGTTTGAGAAGGGTTGAAGTAAAGATATGTTTTCTTTATAGATTTGAGTATGTAGAAAATTCACTTTAAGCAAGTAGGAAAGTAAATGGAATTTTATATATACAACAATAACTCGCATAGTACGGTATCGAACAGTACGTATTAAGTATAGTCCTGTTTGACTATACAAAATTATTTCGTTTTTTTTTCCTTTATAGTTTTTATTTATGCAGTTTATATCTAATTATTCAGTTTCGCCATTAGTCCGGTTTCAAAAAAATATATTGGCTGAATAGATTATTAATGCTTTATTTAAGTATCTCTTGTATTTATCGGCAGATTATGACTGTTAAGTAACTTGCATTGAGACAGTGTTTAAAGGGATTAACAAATTTGGATTTAAAATTATGTAACTTTATTATAAAATTTGAAAACGTGAACATGAAAAACACAACAATATCAAATTACTTAATTATCAAAATTTTAATAAAAAATATTGATTCATGTATTATTTAAAATCAGGATTGTACGAGTTATTACTATACATTCTTATATTTAAGGAATGTAGGAGAAACTTTTCTCATTAATTGCGCTATATATAATTATTTACAGAAATACCTCAAACAGTGCGGTTTCGATTAGTGCGAATAGTGTAGTTTAAAAATTTAAAAATAATGTTAAAAATGTGAACTATCATAAATTATTTAAAATCCGGACTATGCGAGGTATTACTTCTAATGTATTATTAAGATATTATAGGCAGTGAATTTTACAAAACTAAGAAGAAATTAAATTGAAGCTTTAAGTTAGTCATTTCGAAATAAATGTTTTTTTTTTCTGTGAAAATTGCGGAAATTTCTCTCAGTCTAATCGCGTTATTTATTATTAAACGCCAGTAAATCCATGGGGCTATTTCAGCATTGAAGGATGAAGAAATTAATCCATTGTTTGAGCCTGAATTCATGAAATTGATTGATGGATTATTCCCATTCACAAATGAAATAACTTATCACTTAATCTCTGAAGCTGGCGGAGGCTCTTGAGTTATAACCCTTAAATGCTATGCCTTAATCCCGACCAGATGGAGCCATTCATGGGCGGATTGTTGAAAATGTATATAATTATCTATTAAAATAAGAGAGTTTATGCGTGTATATATATGTATGTTTACAGACTGCGAAATTATAACAAAATATTTCAACTGAAGAAATTAATATTCTAATCACAAAATTATTGTTAATTTGTTCTGAGTTTTGTAAATTTGCTTTCATAAAAAGTGTTTTACAATAAATATATTATTCACAATTATTATATTATAATAACAAGTTAATGTATATACTAACTAGTTAAAATAATTCCTGAGAACGTAATACAGACAAACTTCGATTAACGAATAGTTTTATGAAATTACTTCGTTAAACGCAACTTCGTTTTCAGAGCTATAACCAGAATACGTTATTTCCTAAAGCAAATGAAAAGGTTTTTCAAACAAAGAAAAGTTTTATAGAATAAACAGTCAACTTATATATAAAGTTAAATAATTTTTTTAAATATGAGTTTAAAGTTGAATGTTTCTGCCTTTTTCTTCTTTAATTTAACAATTGCCAGTACGCAATTATTGTGTTTAACATTGATTGTTTAATTATTATACTTGTAACGTGGTAAAATAGACAACGCCGTCGGAGAAGAAGTGTGCTGATCTGAGAAAGCAGTTATAAGAGTTCTTCCTCTCGATAAAAGAAAGTGGCGCCCTGAACCTTCCCACGTCACGGACTCACGCCCTAGCCGGCTGAAGATTTGTATAATCTTGTTTTTTTTTGTACACGAGCGCTATCGTTTTACATACTTTTTCCTACATCAATATCATGTTCACATATAAAAGAAAACGTATTAATTGTCTTTTAAGCATCTTTTTAAATGTTTTGTCGTTTTTTTGGCAGAAACTTCTTTTATTTTATCTTCATTTTATTTTTTTTAGTGCTATCAAGGTTTTCTAAATCTGCTATTGGAAATCTTTCAACTTCTGCACTCAATAAACCTCTAACATACCTTCTACAATATTTATGAAGCCTCTCACTTAATCAAACTTTAAGTCTAATTTCTTTGATATTATTTTATTCTTTTAGTACAACTTTTAGCCTTATTTTGAGCATTTCTTAATGAGTTCTTTCCAAGAACTACCAATGTTATTGGACAACTTCAGACTTTGTAAGCTTCCTATCAGAGGTCACGTTAAGCGAGGTATGACTGTACTTCGATATTATATAGAATTTTGACAAAAAAAATGTAACGCTACTTATGTTTGAAATCCTTAAATTTTATTCTAGGTGAGTTAGAGATAAAGATAACAGTATAGAAAAACCTAAAGAATGAAGAAACGAACCCAAAATATAGATATTAGATTCGATGAAGGCGTTAGAAAAAAATGTATATACAAGAGGCAAGGGTTATGTAAGGGATGTGGATCGTCGATCACAACTCGCCTGACAGGGCATCACTCACGACCCTTTTGTGAATGGCCTAACGGCGAAACATTTCCGTTGCGCTTATTCATGTAAATTCAATACTATATTCCATCGGATTATTTATGATTGCGTCCGTGGCATTATGAACTGTGCCATTTTCAAATGAATTCCGAATGCACATGTATACACATACGCACACATACAGAGATAGAGAGAAACCGAAAATTATTGCGCGCCTCGTTCCACCCGGACTGCCGAACAAACTTTGGTTCAAGTTTAGTTCGTTGCAAAATCCCGATTTCAATTCAAGTCACTCGAGCACCGTTCCCATTCGAGTGATTGATCTCGCAACGGAAATATACAAACCAATCTTTAACATTTTACAGTTTTCAAAAAGTTTGTTATTATAAGACCCAACACCTCGTATTTCGAGCTTCAAATTTTTGAAAAAAATATATCTAAATTAATAATTTTTTGAGTAATAATTTAAAAGAATAATTTAAATAATCATTTAAAATATTCAAATATGTAAAGTGAAAATCAATTTATAGTTTATAAATGCAAGGACTTAAACCGGACTAACCGAGGACTATAAAAATGCATAAAAATAATCAATACTAGAGACTTGACTGTACAAATTAAAAAAAAAGCAATAATTTGTATAAAAACATAATTTTGTGTACTATTAGATTTTGTTTTGTTTTGCTCGATTAAAATTTATTTAGTTTGGAAATTTTAAAACCGGGCTATAATGAAAGCCGCAGTAATAAAGCAACAAATGTCACCAAAAATGACAAATACAAAAGTTGTGATCGTATTTTCCGGACTATAAGACGCAAAAATACTCTTTTGTTGACATAGATAACTCGATTTACAACTGGAATAAGTACGTCTCTTTTTTTGTTTGGTCGTAAGAAAAATAACGAATTATGTCTGTATACAAATATATATTTTAACTCACGTTACATAACGTGACAATACGTATGTTTACTGTATTTCCAATACGTAAAATACAATTATCTAGAATTTTATGTTAGAGGAAACAAATGTTACGATAGTATTTTCAGGATTATAAGACACATTTTTTAGTACAAAATAAATATTTCATTAACATAGATAAACAAATTTACAATTGAAATAAATACATCTATTTTTTTGTTTGGTCATAAGAAAAATATCTGTTTATGCAATATATGTTTCAACTCACGCTACAACACGTGACAACACGTTACGTTTACTAAATTTCCAATACCTTAGCAACAGATGTCACCAAGTATATCAAATACAATTGTAGGTTATATTTAAGATTATATAATATTCCGTACGTATTATGTCACATAAGAAGTTTGTGTAATTGAAGTTTGATGAATTTGATAGCATAATTTTAATAATATTCAATGTTGTATAGAATCCTGAATTACCAAAATGCTGATGAATCCATTCAAATCGTTGAATAACCTATATCATAGTAGGATAGATATGAAGCCTTATATAAAACTGTAGTTATTAAAGAAGTAAATTAAATCACAGAAAATTTCACTTCATTTTACATAATTTTCTTAAAAAAATGATGATATTATATCAAATTTGATATCTTACAAACTTATTCAAATGTTTAATATAAAATTTTATACATTCGATTCATTTTACATAATTTTTTGAACAAAATATTCTATTCAGTGTTGATATCTTACATAACTGTTAATTACTGTTGAAACTATGAACAAAAAGGGTGATTTAATTAAGACATTGTAAATTTTATATACAATTTGATATTTGTGAAATAATTAATGGTGAAAATGAAGAAAATGCAGTAAAAAGTGTTTTATTTTTGTACAATTCTTAAATGTGACCAAGAAACCATTGAATAGAAGAAACGGACTAGACTAGATGATAAAACAACTCCGACTGTCGCTAAGAAGATTATATAACGCGAACCGTTATTGCCAGAAAGCAATTTAATGCAAGTCCATACAATCGATTAGTGTTTATTGTTTCTGCCCTTTGCGCAACTTCGCAGACGCTATAATCGGTGGAAAGT